GATGTTCTCTAGCTATCTATGCTTACATGGTTTGCTAACATTTAATGATCTGACTTTGTTTCCTGAGTCCATGTCAAATTGATTTTCTTTTAAGCTTTGGGAAAATTGAACAGAAACGGGATATGCCCTAACAATGTGCAATTATCCATTCTACTGAGCACATGCAACGCACCTTGATGAAGGCACGGGAGTTGATCGGGTAGTAGTTCCCGGCGATGGGTTCTGACTGTTTCAGGTTCCAAGTGGGTCGAAAGTCTTTCCTGCGGGCCCGCAACAAAAATCGTCACCGTGAGCACAATTGAACATCTCCATTCAGTGTTCGCTGAATACCGATTAAGCACAGCTGAGAGTCACGAGAAAGAACTTGACGGCTTACTTCCTCTGCAGAACTTCTCTCCCGTTGGAGTCGGTGAAAAAGATTCCTGAAGACTTGATGTCCGTGTCCAAGCGAGTGATCACCTCCTTGCCCAAGTCGTCGCTGATGAAAGAAGATGGACGTGATTTCCCCAATGATCCCACGGACACAAATCGTAGGCCGGCCCCACTCACTCGATGGGAATCGGGCCCACGGTCCACTCGAGCTCTAGAACCCGGCTGTCGGTATGGAGACGAACCACCTGAGACGCCCACGGGGCGAACCACTGCCTCACCTCCTGCATCACTGACGTCTGAGAAGGGGAAAGACCATGCTAGTAGGACTTGAGCTGAGATATGTTGCTCTTTGTTTTTTTTTTTGTTTGTTTTAGGGTTTTTTTTTGCCATGTGTCCAAGAGAATTTTTCACGGGGCTCCTCTTGATTGACATGCCTCCCAAATTTCATGTTTCTCACCAGTATCGCTAAGTCACTAGCTTTGAGGGAAGAATTTTCCCAAAAGACCCCGAAGGGCATGACGACACCACGTTCCCCCAAATGGAGCCAAAAATGGCTGCTTCGAACCACAATGCCAGCTTTGCTGTGTTTTTTTTGTTTTTGTTTTGTTTTTTCCTGTAGTGGAGTTGTATTTATTTTTATTTTTTTCAAGTCATTGAACTTTGCTGCCAGGCTCCACCCAGAGGCAATGACGAAAGTAATGATTACGTAATTTACTGTTGCCAATAGGATATGTTGTTAACATTTCAAAATGGCAGACTTGTGTGTTTTCCAGGCGTGGCTTCTTGAGATTTTCCTGTGGATCTGTCGACTAAATATCACGTGAGCGACATAAAACTGGCTTCTGAATTCAAAATTTGAAAAAGCGTAACAATCCGTGCCTGTATTGTCTCCGTCTTGGCCGTCTTGCTGATGACAAACGGCGTGGAGGAGTTGGGTCGGAAGATGTACGCCCCTGAGGGCTGGTTGCTGTTTGAGTTGTTTCCGTCGCTGGCGTTGTACCTGCAAGCGTTGAGGTCACACAAATATTCATCATTTGGTTCACTTGATGAGCTTTCAGAGACCTACCAGTAGAAGTTTTGTGTCAGGCCGATGCTCTGCTTGGTCTCCAAGTTGTCCAGGCCGCTCAGGAGGCCCGTCGTTGGGTCAAAGGTCACGCGTAGATACTGTAGATATCAAAAAAAATCTGTTGTTGTGGTTGGTAACCCTACTGTAACCTCATACTGTACCTTGTTCCAGATGGATTTGGGCACATGGTAGCCTGTAGAGGCCAGCGGAGGCCCGTCCTGGAGCAGGGACACCGAGTAGGTGCTGAAGCCCAGCGGCGGGGCTCGGACCCGGAAGAGGAGCTCGTTGACGGCGAAGCCACGGTTCCTCCTCACGTCCCGCGTGGTCCCCGAGATCGGAATCACCTCGCAGTCCACAGCCTTGCCGTTAGCGTCAGCCACCACATACGTTGTGCCGTTGACCGGAAGCCTGACGGGCCAGGAGACGGGCCGAGCCAGGGGGTTGAAGACGTTCACGGAGAACTGGAGGAGGCAGCCGTGCATCAGGAAAGTTGACGGCAAGATTTAAAGCCGTTTTTTTTACCTTTTTGCTGGACTCGGTGATGGGACACACGCTGATGTTGAGGCTGTTGCAGTACACCCGCTCAGCAGTGGAGCCACTCAAAGCAGCGAGACTGTTGCTGACCACAACCTGGAGACGGGAAGAACCATCAACTGACAACGTTTTGCCGCATCAAAGAGACGACACGCATAAAATAGCCGACTGAGGGAAAAACCTCAAATTGACAGCTTCAAGGATACGCAAAACCTCACCCAGACCCGAAACCCATCAAGAATCTTCACTCATGTGAAATTGGTATCGTTGGATTTTCACAATGTTAGTGGTTTCGTAGCCACAAAATCTCATCCAGACCCGAACCCCGTTGAGATTCTACATTCCCACGATACTCAAGAAAATATCGTGCAATTGCTTTCGACAAAATGGGCCCGGAGATGTCAGCTATGAAACTTTCCACCCCGGTCCGGGCTTCCATACAGATGCTTTCTGCATGACGCGCCTGGTCGACTTCGTCCTGCGTCGAGCTTTTCTGCTGTTCAGCCGTCACTGATACCACCAGAAAATTCCTTTGCATCTTACACGTCGGCATTGCCTTTCAAACCGAACACCGAAATAGAGGAAAAAAATCCAGGAAATGCACATCTTTACTCAATGGGGATAGACTTGACATTTCCCAGACCTGAACCCCATTGAGGACCTCCATTAGCGTGCCGCTATTCCTGAAGTGTGACGTCCACTGTACCTGACAACGTTGCCAGCCGTTGGCAAGTCTCCGGGCGTAATCGTTGGCGACATGCTGCTTTTCGGTTCCTGACACGGCGTCGTGGTGCTGAGCTACCGCCATGGCTCTCCCTGGACCGGGAAGAATGAGCGGTCAGATTTGACAAAGGCAAAGGGAATCATTTTGACTTACTCAAGGTCAGGCTGTCGCCCTGACCGAAGGGTCCACTAGTAGAAGCCTGGCCGCCGAGAACCTCCAGCTGGTTACAGGTCTAAAAAAAAAAATCCTCACATTTGAGTGGTTTCCAGTTTCCAGAATCTGGATCTGATCCAGGAACCCACCTGCAGGTTGCTGTTGCTGAGCCTCTCGTAGCGTTTCAGGGCCGGCCTACTGCTGAAGTAACCCGTCCAGAAGTCGTGGGCGTCGTCCGCATACGGAAAGAAGTCATCGGTCTTGAGGGCCCTGTGCGGAAACCCAGAACGGTTCTACGCCGTCCCCCCGCTTGTGGGCTAGCATTTGGGTCCTACCAGGAGAGGTTGGCCCGATGGAGCTCTTGGAGGTAACAGGAGGGCGTGGAGTAGAGGACGTTGACGCGGCTTCCGTTGGACTGCCGGGCGTTGACGTAGCGGATCAACTTGTCCAGGTTCTTGTACCACAGGTTGGCGTTCTCGTACTGGAAGTCCGAGCCCATGGTCATGATGATGTGATTGGACTTGTACACCAGAGACTGGGCCGGGAGGAAGACTTGATTCTCACCACATAGCGACAGTTTTTCTCCATTAAGACTTTTGAATTCCTACACGATCCATGGTCGTTATGTGTGATAGAGGTTCGGATTTGGGGTGAGCCCTCAGAAAAATTTCTCCACTTGGAGGGGTTTGTGAAGCCCCGCTTCAAGTGCTCTCACCTGACTTTTTGCGATGTTGAGGAAGCGTTCCACCACGTCATTCACGTTGTAGTCCTCCAGGTCGGGATCGTCCTTGATGGGTGGGTCGTCGCAGGACTGGTCCCAGCAGAAGCCCTCGGGGGGGTTGTACCCATTGGGAAGGATCCCTGTCAGGGCGGGGAAGACCGGGGGTGTCAAAACTCGCTAGGGTTGCCCTCAGGCCGCCTATTAAGGTGAAACCACATCACTATACAATCTCAAATCACAGTTTAGGATGTACAGTCCCTTGGTTTTATGCTCGTGGTTCAACTCTCACATCACAAAGGAAACAAAATGACCTGCATTTGATCGTCATTATTTCTAGGATGAGAAAAGCCGTGAAAGATCGGATCACGCCCACAGGCTGCCACATTGTTCTGTTACCGGTGAAGAGGTCGGCCAACGGTGGGCTGATGCTGTCAGACGCCCTCCACAGCAGCTCCTGCTCTTTGGCCCGCATCCGCCGGGACCGGTCCTGGTAGTCCACTCGCCCGAAGAAAAAGCCGTCGTAACCCATCTGGAGCAGGACACGGGTGACTTTTTCAAGGATTTTTCCCTCCTCAAATTGAGGTCGAGGCGGTATTATTTTGACACTCAAGCGGTAAAGTTTGCAGCGATGAAAAAAAAAAAAAAAACACTTGTGGCTGCAATCATCAGGTTAAGTTGATCATCACTCGTTTGAATTGATTGTAGATTAAAAAAACAACATCAAAACATCGAACCGTGACATTTCGTTTTTGGCAATGCTCCATCATCCGCAAGTCATGTTAGCAATGTAGCGAGCTGCCTTGGTATTCCTTGCTGCTTTTGGCAGAAACGCAAGGGCGGAGTTAAGCGAGGCTATATTCAAGACTTGCAAACAGATTCAACACTACATTGTCAATCTTAAGGCATGTGATTTGTTTTTGTTTGTTTCTACCTGCGCAAACATGGAGGCGTGCTCCCGGGCGTGTCCAAAGGGATCAATGTGCCAGGCCACCCGGGGCCGACCGCAAGGCCCGAAGGTCTGGTTGAGGAACCTGAGGCCCATGGTCATCTGGTCCACAACGGCGCTGTAGTGGGTGGTGGCCTCGTCGCTCATGCACCAGCCGCCGTTGACGAACTCCAGTCGGCCTGGGGTAAGGAAGGGGATGCAAGGTGGGAGGGGGCGGTGGGCGAGAGGCGTTCCGCAGGATTGTTCCGGTCGAGGGAATCCAAGCGGGGACGCACCTTGGTTGACCAGTTGCTTGACCGTCCGCTGCATGTCGGAGCTCTGGCGGCGCCACCAACGGTAGAAGAAGGCAGTCTCCACGTAGATGAACCTTCGGTCGGGGTTCTTCTGCAGTTCTTCCACCACAGAGTCCAGGATGTACTGCACGCCGGCGTGCTGGATGTCGTTACGGTCTACACACCAACAAGGACGCCTGAAAACGGCCTGCATTTTGCGCACATCTCTTGCTAACAGGACGTCACTCTACTGGGAACAACTTTCAACTGAAAGTTGAAGAAAACGGTACAATTCTGACTGTGTTCATAAACAATTGTGAGCTGCTACGTTTTTCGACATGATTTGCTCCTTTTTATTTAACAAATGTTTCCATTTTTTTCCTGCCCTCGTTGTTTTTGTCTAGTGGAGCACGTTGTCATTATCACACTAATAGCATATGCAATTCATTTAGTCATCTTTAAAAATTAAAGGTAAGGTTCAACTACATGTGGGAGTTTTTTCACATCAACATTGTAGCTATCAATTAATGTAAAATCTGTATTGCACAAGGTCAAACTTAAAACATGAAAACGAAAAAAAGTCAAAACATTTTAAGAAATCTGGGTCAAAAATATGCAGAGACACATAAAACCATCCCGAATTAAAACTTGCTGTTGATTAGTCAATTATGTGATTGGTTTTTTTTTTCATTTATATAATTTTGGGAGAACTTTTTTTCAATTTTGTTTTAACATTTTTGAACAAAGTTTTCTTACACAGCTTTTTTTGACTTTTTTCCCTTGTTTTTATGCAAGCCATTCTATGATGCATTTTTTCAAGTTACATAATGTACACAAAATATTCTACGATATATGCATCAGAAAACAAGATTATAAACTATCAATGGGATAAAAGAGTACCTGTATTACACTGTAGTATTTGATGTCACGTTTACTAAGATGATACACTCATATTTTTATCATATTAAAAACAATAGGTAGTTCTGGTTTTATATCAAATGGATATCATATATTAAACGAAAGTGGCTTTTGAGGACATGCGATGAGTTCCAATTTCAAATTGCCAAGAAAAGTTGAATTGTCGATGACTGTATTAAATCACTATGTAAGCGATAAAAGATAAAAATTCATATTATACTTCATCATATACAAAAATCTGACCAGTTTTCACTGCAAATGCCCTCACGGAAATCAAAGCAAAAATCGCAAAATACTTTGAAACTGGTTGTTTGAGGGCAAGCATAGTGCTGATGGAGCAGGGAAAAAATATATACAAATGCAAACCCCCACGCCCCCACAACCTCCCTGTGAAAACATGATGATGGTGAATCATGAGCTGTTGCACAGAGGATAATGATCATTTTATGGTTCGTCTTTTAGCACACAGGTGCATGTGCGCACGCGCTGTTCAGACCTCCGTAGAAGTACTGGTCCACGGTCTTGAGCCAGCCCACGTCGTCGTGCGTGTGCGGAACCAGGTGGACGTTCAGCATGGACGCCTTTGTAGCGTGACAGGACTGCAAACAAACAAATGAGTATGTACGCACATCCCAACATAAATGGCAATAATGCACACACAAACAACTAATAAAGGAGTGTGTGCGTATGTGTTTTGTTTTTCCACAACAAAAACAAACGAATTGACCTTGCCGGCTGTGAGTTAAAACCTCACACGGAATTTGTCCCTGTCGTTGGAAGCAACAGTATCACAAAAACATTGCTTTGGTATGTCTCAATGTCCAGACACTCATCGAGCAACATGATTGGATCATTTATCTTAAGTCACGCTGGAGGGGGAAGGTTGGTTAAACAACACCTTTGACTTCTTGACACTCCCTTTCGGACTGTTGCTACTTTTTTGCTGCATGTTCGAAATAAACATTTATTCAATCAATATAAAGTATGCAATAGTGCAGTCATAGTGATCAAGAGCAGAATCGTGCAAATCATCAAGAGTGATGGTTATGTTCAATATTCGAGGTTCGCACTGTTTTATTTAAAATTTTAAAATGGAACTCTGTTATTATTATTTGAGAAAAAAGATGTGTGATTACACATCTAATCTAAACAGCGATCAATATCATCCGCGACAGCATAACAGTTTTCATAAAATGGTTAGACCTAACCGAAAAAAAATGAACCGTCTGCGTGTCTATTTCCAGTTCACAGAGCTTGAATGGACGATTTTAGTCATAAAATGACTGAAAAGTCGTTTTTTTCAAGTTTCCTTTCAAATATATGGCCTTGAACGCGGCATGATGTCACAAAAAAAGCGCCCAGAAATGTCTCACCTGATAGCCGCATTTGTCCTCGCGTAGATTTTCGTGGCGTTCGACTGGCAAACTGAAACAAATTTCACAGAGGAGCAAAAGGAGCGAAAGGAGCCGACAGCAGCCCGCCGCCATGTTGGCAAATGAAAGTCAAAGTCATGTGATGTGTGTTTACGTTCCAGGTATCATGTGACAAGCGATTTCCTGACCCCCAATCTTTTCTGGCGGGCTTTAATCGGTCGATCGTTAATGACGTGCGTGATTTTTTTTTCATGACCTTTTAAGTTTGAAGACACAAGCAAGGCGCGTTTCACGTACATATTCACGTTCGTTAATGTTCAATATCGTTTGCTCCCTGTCTCTACGAAATGCCACACGGAAAACTAAATATTTATACTTTGAGAGAAAAATATAATTTACGATATTAGTCGTAATTGTAATATCTCGACAATAACGGTTGCGTTTTTTCCATCTCTCAGAACTCACGTTACTGACTTTATTTCAACAAGAAAGTCATAATTTCCTTTTGGAGAAAAATTAGGAATACCGTATTTCACGGATTCATATATTTCTTTTGAAATAATACTGTTACAAGATTTTTAAAAAAGAAAAGTCACGCTGTTACGAGAAATCGGTTTGCATCCAAAAAAGAAAAGTGTCAATTTCATGTCAGAAGTTGTACTTTTTTAGGTAAAACGTGTTATTCCACAAGTCATACTTTTGAAAAAACAAAGATGAGCGATTTTACCCTTAATTACAAAGAACAAGATACCCCGATAAAACACTATTTTATTCTTGTCATTTTACTTTTTTCAAAAGGACATGATGACACATGTAGCCTCGCCAGATTCCCACATTTTCCTTGAAGATTTGACTCTCCTACTTTTGCAAATTTTTAATCTCAGAAAATATATGACAATATTCTCCTAAAATGAGAAGCATAATCTTAATTTCTTGTTTTGTACCCAGTACTTAGACCATCAATACCCATTGAGAATTAACAAAACAAACATTTGAGGCATTTGTGGGTCTTTTATTATTGTTATATGCACAAGAAGCAAACATGTTGGTCAACGAGTAGCTTTCAAACAAGACCATGAGGACTAAAGTGTCGCACAGCGCTCCCTGTCGGTGAATGTAAATGTAACAGTTGCATGTGAAATTATTGCATACAGTATTTGTCTTTTTCATCATGCGTTCTGTATACAGATTTGATGAACAGTTGAAACTCAATTTTTTGGGTTGAAAAGGCATCACTCAGTGCTCGGGTACCTCATCTCAGTTTTCAAGAGCGTAAAACGTACCTGAGCTTGTTATTTATTTATTTATTTTTAACCCAGCGGAACCTCTAATATCCAAACTGAAAACACTTACAAAATATAATCCTCTGGAACATGAAATACTTTGGGTTAAAGCTGTGTTTTGGAGATGTAAAATTTCAAATTTATGAGAAGAATTTCGTGAGATTTTATGAGAAGAATTTTTTTTTAGGGGCAAACGATTTTTTTTTGTAAATAATTTTTTAATCACATTTTAGGGGGTAAAAAGTCAGTCACATAAGAATACATGAGTTCTTTTTTTTCCCAGAAATAAAGTTGCAAGAAAACAGTCGTGGCAAAAAAAATGCCTTTAAATAAAGAAATAGTCAAATTCTTAAAAGAATAAAGTCACAATTTCCAAGAAAATGACACTTTTAAGTTCAAAAGGCACAATTTGGGAATGAAGGCAAAGGGAACGTATGAGAAAATATTTTTTTTGGGGGGTGGGGGAAAATAGTCAGAATTTTGTCTGACTTCCGTGTGGGATTTCAGAGGTCCCACTGAACTTGGCAGCCTTTGGAGTTTGGTTTTTATTTAAAGTGAGCCCTACTATGACGCAAAGCAAATATCCGCATGTCATTGACGCCAATCCGAAAAGATTTGAAATTGTCTTTGCATGCCACAAAATGGCAGCAAGGCACTTTTTTTTTTTCCCCCATGAGACAGGGCGAAATGAAGGTCGTCCTCTTCAGTTCAACATAGTTACCAAGTGGCCACCAAAGCTGCGCCAAAAGCAATATTTTTATACAAGCCATGCCAAACCGTGACTGTGGGGATTCACTGTAGTTTGAAAAATAAAAATTGGAGAGATGGTCACGGCCGTTTAGTACGCTGGAGGAGGGATAAAGTTGCAAGAAAACAGTCGTGGCAAAAAAAATGCCTTTAAATAAAGAAATAGTCAAATTCTTAAAAGAATAAAGTCACAATTTCCAAGAAAATGACACTTTTAAGTTCAAAAGGCACAATTTGGGAATGAAGGCAAAGGGAACGTATGAGAAAATATTTTTTTTGGGGGGTGGGGGAAAATAGTCAGAATTTTGTCTGACTTCCGTGTGGGATTTCAGAGGTCCCACTGAACTTGGCAGCCTTTGGAGTTTGGTTTTTATTTAAAGTGAGCCCTACTATGACGCAAAGCAAATATCCGCATGTCATTGACGCCAATCCGAAAAGATTTGAAATTGTCTTTGCATGCCACAAAATGGCAGCAAGGCACTTTTTTTTTTCCCCCATGAGACAGGGCGAAATGAAGGTCGTCCTCTTCAGTTCAACATAGTTACCAAGTGGCCACCAAAGCTGCGCCAAAAGCAATATTTTTATACAAGCCATGCCAAACCGTGACTGTGGGGATTCACTGTAGTTTGAAAAATAAAAATTGGAGAGATGGTCACGGCCGTTTAGTACGCTGGAGGAGGGCAGAGGAGCAGAGTGGAGTCCAGATCCAGGCGGAAGGCCGGATAGATGGGCTGCGAGAAGGCACATCTGAAGGTGTGCAGCAGCACCACGCTGTCTGACACGCTGTAAAAGGACAACGCCCCCTTGTGGCGCTCCAGGAAAACGCCGATGCGCGGGCACGGCGCCGCCGCCACGGTGGTCTTACGGTTGTCATGCCAGGCGGCGTAACCGGCATGCGTACAGCGAAGTCGCCACGAGTTCTCGTTGCGGCCCAGCAGACAGGGTTTTCCGCCGCCTTTGCGTCCGATTCGCCTGAAAGTAGGGTTGAAAAATAGCCGCGGCTTAACTTCCAATGGAAATTGACCAGAAACTTTGCGGAAATATCCCCTCCTCCCACCCTTTACAAGTCTACCTGTAGGTGGCGCCGATGTCGATCCATCCGCCGCCGCGCCACTCGACCTCCCAGTAGCTGGCGTCGCCAAACTGGCCCTGACAGCACAGGACCTGAGCCACTGAGTCGAAGCGTTGGGGGTGCGCCGGGTACGACTGAAGCTCCTCGCCGCAGTGGGCCCCCTGGCCTCCGTCGAACAGCACCAGTGTGGGGTGGGCCGTGTCCGGGTCCAAGGACAGATGACAGCAAACTGAGATAACCAACAAACAGGAAGTAAGCAACAAGGACAGCCCGAGCCCAAATGTCAACTTACCCTGGCCCAAGAACCGGAACACCAACCCTAAGAAGACTCCAACAACCCCCCCCCCCCCTTTCCTTAAGAACTATAATAGCCTGGACAAGAACCTGAACACCAAGCCGAAGTAAAACCAAATGAGAACTCACAAAAACAATCCTTACCCACCCAAACCCCAACAAGAACTTGAACCTTGACACCTAACAGCCAGCTAACCCCAACAAGACCTCTGACTGAACCAGGCATGTCCAGCTCGGATCCTCGAGAGCTGCTGTCCTGCGTCTTTTATGTCTCGCTCCTCATCAGCAAGCAATGAAGACGCCCGATAACGAACCTGGTCATTTGAATAAGGTGTGTTGAAATTGCGAGACAGCCAAAACAGGCTGCAAACCCAACAAGAACCTCAACCCCCTCACCGAACAACCCCAACAAGAAACCCAATCGTAACCGAACCCTGGAGGAGGACTTGTTTACCTTTGGGCAGTTGAAAAAAGTTGGACTCGACAACTGAACTTCTCTAAGCATCAAGTTTTATATTTAGCTTCACTCCAGTTGTTTTCAGAGCTCGCATCTGAGCACCCGGGTCAGTTTACCGTGGCGGCATCACAAGGTCCAAACAACAGGATTTCAGTCTTTGTATCATTGTAGAAACTTTGTATCATTAAAAAGCAAAGCATTTTAAATACATCCGTGCCTTTGATTACCCGACACACACTCAAGAACGTTTACGTTGTACGTTTGCGTATCACATGAAATGGGATGTTTCCAGAAGACTGCCCCAAGAGAAAAGAAAATCAGAGGCCCAAGAATGGAACCTTGCGGCACTCCACACCTGAGAGGAGCCCCAACTCGAACACTCCATTTTCTACCTGTGAGGTACCACCGAAACCACTGCCCGAGACAGAAGACTGGGATGGTCTACCCCGACCTTTAGCAACAAGCCTGACCTCAATGCTAACAGGACAAACGACAAGCGTAACACCACCCTTAAATAAGTAACCTAACCCCAGCTGTCACAAGCTTGCCAATGAGAACACGAAACCCCAAGCCCAAAAACATTCCCAGACCTTTCAAGAACCCGAATTCGAACCGACCACTTGATCACCTGCCTGGTGACCAAACAAGACGGCATCACCCCAAAAGCACAGACCGGGAAAAGCCTTTTGGGACCCCGATGAGGTGACAATCTGCAGTTGTGGGGACGAAAGACACCCGCGATGTCATCAGTTATTGATGAGCGACAAGGTGTCATCCTATCAGCACAAACGCTCGGTGACTTTCCTTAATCCAGACGTGACATTCTCAGGTTCCCTCCCCTGCGTTCAGCGAGGTTCGTTTCGCCTTGCATCGCCCGTAAGGAGGCCGCGGATAACATTTAATCACAATGAACGCTCACCCCCCCCACGTCCCCAAAAAGATGCCATTTTCTCAGATTTTGTCAAGATAAAAATTTGTCATATTGAGTCATAATTATATGAGAAGTCAGAATCATCATAATATTACCAGCTGTAATTTGAAAAAACAAAAACAAAAGTTTGTTTCGAAGAAAAGTTGGAATCTTAGGAGGATACATTCATATGAATTAAAATATACGGCTGAAACAGTCATCATGCTTTCTGAGGAAATAAAACTGTTGGACGCTTCCAATTTTTTTTTTTCAAAATAAAAGTGTAAAAATTGGTAAAATAACTAAAGTAGTATTAGTACCGCCCCCCCACCAAAACAAGTTTTTTGTTTGTCATTTTGTTTTTTTTTTTCCTGAGAAAAGTAAAAAACGGTGGTGATTGGTGCCTTGACTTACAAGGAAAAATTTGAACTTGAACTTGATGACAAGCATCACTGTCAGCTCGTAGGCAATTCCTCGAAAACGATATCAAGTGTGCTTGCTTCAAGCTGTTTCTTTCCACTGCCGGTGAATGTTTACTGTCAAGCTAAATGTCAAACAAAGAAAATGACACGTTGTGTTTTCAAGCCTTATGTGAACATACAATGCAAAACGTCATAGACCAGTGAACCAAACGAGCAGCATTCTTGTGGTTGCACATTAGCATATTGAACACAAAGAGTGCAGCAACACCTGTAGACAGACAACAATAACCAGAGGCTTATATTGTTATTGTGATACTTTTTTGGGGTGATGAAGACGAGAACTTACACCTTAGGAAGACGGCCCTCATCCTTTGGTCGGCCGGCTGCAGAAGCGGCAAGGACGGAGAGAACGACGAGGCAAACACTACGCACAGGAGGAAAAGTGATGCAGTTTTTGAACAGGGCAGCTGGTAGCGTGAGAGCGCACGCAGTACTCACACTGTGTGTCATCTTGTCGTGAATGGCGAGGGGAATGCTTAGGCTTGAAGTTCTCGGCGGCCGCATTTACTGCGCCTTCAAACACACGACTGACATTTTTATTAGGTGCTCCTTAATTTGAAACCCTCACCTTTGTTTCAAGCCCTAATTTAATTCCAACCCTAATTGGAACCCTTAAACGTGGCTCAAAAACCTCATCTCTACCCTTAACCCTGGCTCAAAACCTTAATTTGAAAGCACAGGCCTTGTTTCAATTGCAAACGACGGCCTGCAACCTGAATATCAGAACCAAACTTGAAATCCTAACCCAGGCTTGAAATCGCAACCCAGGATCAAAGCCATAATTCGAAGCATTAAACCTTGTTTGAAATACGACCCGAAACCCTACTTTGAAACTCGTCTTGAAAAACTCTTCACCAAATTTGAAACTGTAACTTCACAACTAACCGTAACCCTTTCTTGAAAGCCTACTTTGAAGCCCTCATCGGGAACGCTGCCCATGTTTGAAACCCTAACCCAAAACCCTAATCCAAACTTGGAACTGAGCCGTTGAAACCTGATTTGAAACCCAACTCAAATTTTCACATGCTGACCCAGGCATCCAAACCTAATTTGAAACCCTAACCCTGGTATAAAATGCTAACGGGGGTTTGAAAGCCCATTTTGAAACCTTAACTCTGTCTGGACATCCTCACTCAAAACCTGAACCATCAATGAAAACAGTCATTTGAAATCATTAGATCGCTGTCCAATGAGTGATCTCACCTTTCGCGCACTCGCCACCTGACGCGTTGTTCTCATTAACTGCAAGACAAACGCAACCGGTTGAGTGAGCGTATGTCCGCCTGCGTGCGTGCGTGCCCGCTTTTGGGGTTCAACCACTATAGATTTTTTTTTTTTTTTTTTGTTTTTTTTTTTTTTTTTTTTTGGTCGTCAACATTGAGGTAATGAAGGTCAAGTGAATCTTAAAGCACAAACGCACCCTCCCTACCCTGTTACCCGCGCGTATGTATGGGTGTCATGGTCATCCGTGTTTTACCCGCCCTGCTGATGGAGTCCATCTCCTCTCTGCAGACTTCCTCCAGGCGGCTGCGAAGTCTCCCCAGGGCCCCCCTCGCCCCACTGAAGGCCTCGGTGGAGGGGCCAGACGTCGGTGAGGGCCGGGCGGCGGCCGCGATGGGAAGGCACAGCAGCGGCGCCACCTGCTGGGGAGAGAGCGACACTCAAACAGCCGAGGTGCGCGATGGGCTCGGATTGGGGTCTCGAGGTGCAGGAATTTGGGCAAAATGTTTGTGTTCAAGAACCAAAATTGTTGTTGTTGTTTTATTTTTAAAGCGATAAGGTGCCGTTTCTCACGACGACATCACCTGCAGAAAGTGCCCGCTGTCCTGGGTCTGAAGAAGTTGTTCGATCTCCCGGTCTCGCCTGCGTAGTTCCTCCAGATCTTTCTCCAGCGTCTCCGCGTCCTGCTCGGCGCGAGCCACCAACGCTCGCGAGCGAGCGTCCACGCGCGCTCGCACCTTCGGCCACACCAAGCAGGCAGCAACTTCATGTTGACGTTTCCAACCGTGTTTTGAAATGCTCACGCAAACTTCAGAACCCAACTCTCATTTAAAATCACAACCCTGGCTTAAAAACCTGAATTTCAAACCTTCAGCCTCGAATAATTTAAAATGCTAAGCCTAGCTTCAGAAGCTAATTTGAAACCCTACTTTAAAACGTAACGCCTTGTTTGAGACCCTAACCCAAATAGAAAAACTAATTTGAAACCTTGCCCTTGTAACCGTAACCCAACCGTAACCCAAACTTTCTTTGAAGTTCTGACAACTCACCTCAGCCTTTGTCTTCTCCAGTCGTGTTACCATGTCAGCAAAAAGCGACTCGCTGTCCTCCAAAACGGCCGATGCCGACACCTGAGACACACACATACACAAACACGGGTAATTTACTCCTTTCCAGGGTTCCAAAAATCTTTTTGGGCCAGGGTCTGCAGCATTGAGCAAACCTTTTTGGAACCTTTTATTCTTTTTTTTTTTTAACCCCAAGAACTAAAAGTACCAAAAAGTGTACCTTGAGGGACTCCAAGCTCTGCTGGAACTCCTCCAGCTCTCGCTCACAGCTTCGGATTTTGCCCTGAACCATCCTATGAAACTGCCGAAGTTGAACCTGGACGGCAGACAGACAATTTGGTGGCTCATTCAAATCACCGAGGGAACTATTTTCAATCTTGTAAGAATTCCTAAAATGACACATTTTTCATCAAGTGGGAACCCAAGCCACGCTGCCCGCACCCAAGCCAGTTGAGTGCTGTACAACTTCACCATCAGCGAGCGGCACTCACAGCTCAATTCCAATAACTATCAATTATCATCCTGTGTCCTTCCACGAAATAATGCCACTCAATTGAGGCGCAGTTTGACAGCATTCAACCCCATTTTTGAATTGTCTCGTCGTCGCCCGTACCTGTCTCCGCGCCCTCTGAGCCTCCCCGGGGTGCGCCTCCTCCCGGTCGGCCTCGCACAGCAGACAGTCTCCGCTCCACTCCACCGCGGCCTCCTCCGGCTCGACGTCCCCGCCGGCTCGCGGCCGCAGTCCGAGGCGGTGCTGCGCGCAGAGCCGCTCGGCGGGACACTCCACGGCGGCCACCAGCTTGTGCCGCCGTAAGGTGTCCACTTCCCGGTGGGGCAGCACATGAGCCTCGCAGAAGGAGGCCAGGCACACCAGACACGACTTGGCCGCCGCCAGTTTGCTCTCCGGCGGGCAAAAGTCGCACGGGACCTGGCCCGCGATGCCCAGGTACAGCTCGGGTGGCTCGGAGAGCTCCGAGGCTTCTCTCGGCTTGAGCTTGGCCACCACCTCGGCCAGCACGGTGTTCCGGCGGAGCACCGGCCGGGGGCTGAAGGCCTCGCGGCACTGCGGGCAGCTGAAGTGCGCCGGCGGCTCGGCACGGTCCCAGTAGCCGTCGATGCACGCCATGCAGTAGGTGTGTCCGCACGGGATGGACACCGGGTCCTGAAGGACGTCCAAGCAGATGGGACAGCGAAACTGGCTCTCCGTCACGGAGATGTTGGCATGGTGGGCCATCGCCGCCGGACAGGGGCGGCTCGCTGATCGAGTCCGACTTTCGGTCACGCTCTCCGGGTTTGTTTTGACTTTACGGGAGGGGTCGGACTAGAGCTTTGGGAGCGACTAAAATAACTCTTCCGCTCGCTCTACAAATAATTTTGCCCTTGTTGTTGACTGGCAGGTACGTAATGGTTGAAGATCATTGTTGACATTTTAACGCAGAGAAACGTAATTTCATTGTCAAATTGTTTACTTTTCATAGTACACTTGTATATAAATAAGAAGTGAAATTTCACACTATGTGCTTTAGTCATCAGGTGGAATACATTATTTGAGGCCGTGCTGTCCTCTGGTGGCGACGCCGTCTGATGACACTCCGAACAGTTTAATTGTGCCCGAATTTTTGACTGGATAATTTCCAGTCATTGTTTTTTTTCTTTGTGCAAGGTGAAATTTATCATTCACACTACGATCATGAAATAAAGGATGTCTCACGTACAACTCTTTTCCCTAAAACCCTTTGTAGATTATTTCGAGTTATTTTGTTTTATTTCTGTTGTGCAAGGTGATGGTCAACATGAATAACCAATGAGAGAAGAAAAAGCATGAACCGTAATAAAAATTGTCCACCGGAAAAATGCCTTTTTTGACGTTGTGGCCTATTTCAAAATTTTCTCAGTTGTACAGCACAAGCACAAACATCAAACACGTTGTTTAACTTGTTCTTTTCAATCATGTTTGAGTCATTTTTTTCCAATACTGAAGGCGTCAGGTGACGTCGGTCACTTCCCGCCTGCGTTGATTTGACACGGAGCGTGTCGTTCACAAAAGATAAAAAAATGTCCGATTAAGATTAATGAAGTAAAAATGATTTCAATTTCACTTGATTTATTATATATATTTTATAATTTCGATTCGTTTTGCATTATTGACTTTGTGCTGGGCGCCCACTCTACGCTTGTTCGAGTCCAACTTTGAGCCAGGTGAAGGAAATTATACGTGAGCGCGCGCGCGCGCGTGTGTGTGCGTGTGTGTGTGTGTGTGTGCGTGTGTGTGTGTGTGTGTGTGTGTGTGTGT